TCATTTAAGTCAGTATTAGAGCAGTGACCTCTTGTAGGTGTGGGTCTATACTAAGCATTATGGCCAGCCATCATGCTAATGTAGATCCCACATTACTTAAGGTAAATCTTGTATTTGTAAGATCTTGTGCTTGTGAATGAGTGAGTCTGATTCTGAATGTGCTTGAGCTTGATGAGGACATCAAACCTTTAAGTGAGAGAGATTGAGGGTACACGAATCTTGACTTGAAAAATTGTTAGATCAGTGACAGTTTTTGACTTGAATTATTTAAAATTAAATGCAATTAGTAGTGGGTTTTGACCTAAATTGTTTAAAATTAAAGTTAAATGCAATTAGTGAATGATAAAAGATTGGATAGTCATATCCCATCTTTGAAATAGAATTATGAATTTTTTTTAAAAAAAAATTTTGAAATGTAGAATGGGAGGCACTCTCTTTTATCCCCTAACCCATTTCCCTAACCCACTCCATGTTATGTGAAAATTGATAAAACACCAACATCTATCTTATTTTTCTTGATCTTCATTTCTGAGAAACACCCAAAAGTCTGATGAATACTTGGGTAGTTGAGTTGCTCTTCCACAAGTTCCCATTCCTCTAGACTTGGGTCAATGGTGAAGGCAACAGCATCACAAATTTCTACGCTTTGGGAAAAAAAAAACGAAGAAGAAAGGATTTAATTTTTATTTTATATAATCCCAAGTGAACCTTTTTCCTACATTCATAAAATATACATGCATGTTTACCCCATAAAAGAGAAGAACAAAAGGAGAGTATAAGAAGTGTGCAGGAATAACAAATTTAAGCACACCAAAATGATGAGGTTTGTGCCAAGAACCTCTATGTTCTTAGCTTTCTTTTGCTTCATGCATCCTCTGGTCTTCTCTAAGCTACATTCGAGCCAAACCACTGTTATGATCTCAATTTCTCTGCAACTTAATAGCACACAATTGCCATGGGATGTCGCCAAGGAGCCAAACCCATGTTTGTGGAAAGGTGTCAGTTGCAGCCCCCCTAACAACAGCTCCATAATCTCACTTTCTTTATATGGGTTTGGTCTTTCTAGCTCTGACTTTCTGAGTGAGGTGTGCAGGATTGATTCTTTGCAGTCTCTGAACCTGTCCAACAACTTTTTGGAAAGTATCTCAGATGGGTTCTTCAATGGTTGTGGAGGGATTGATGGGTTGGAGGTGTTGGATTTTAGCAGGAACAGGTTGGTTGGTTCTTTGCCTGCTTTTCAAAATTTTGTTGGACTTGAAGTCTTGGATTTGTCTTTTAATAATTTGAGTGGAGAGATTAATTCACAGTTGAGTCAGTTGGTTTCACTCAAAAGTTTGAATCTTAGTGTCAATGAATTCAGTGGGTCTGTTCCTACTCAGCTAGGAAAATCTTTTGTTTTGGAACAACTTCAGCTGTCTAAGAATTTGTTCCATGGTGAAATTCCTGTAGAATTGCTGACATATAAGAATTTAACCCTCATTGATCTTGGTGATAATGATCTTACTGGCTCCATTCCTGTAGCTATTGGTAGCCTATCCAAGCTGCAATTCTTGTTTTTGTCATCCAATAGATTGAGTGGAAAAATCCCCAAATCCATTTCAAGTATCAGCACCCTGCAGTGGTTCGCAGCTAATCAGAACAATTTTGTTGAAGTTCCTGTTGGGATTACAAGATATATCAAAATTTTAGACCTTAGCTATAATAAATTGTCTGGGTTGATTCGATCTGACCTTTTGTCACAGCCAAGCTTGCAGCACGTGGATTTGTCTTATAATTTGTTACATGGAAGACTACCTGAAATTATGCCTTCGAGGAGCTTGGTAAGGCTGAGATTGGGAAGCAATTCACTCAACAGCTCAATCCCTACAACACTGGCAACACTTAAGAACTTGGCTTACTTGGAGCTGCAAAACAATAGCTTATCTGGGTCCATACCTCCGGAATTGGGTGCCTGCCAGAATTTGTTGCTATTGAACTTGGCTCAGAATGACATAAATGGGGCACTGCCAGCGGAACTGGGCCATTTAACCAAGCTTCAAGTTATGAAGCTTCAGCAAAACAAGTTGGGTGGGCAAATCCCA